TCCCCCCTCACCCCCATCCCAGGCCCCAAGAAGACTTTCCACATCAGGCAGATGTTCACCTTCACATCTGCTAATGTGGTATACTGCATCCGCTGTTCCCGTTGTGGCCTCCTCTACATCGGGGAAACCAAGCGGAAGCTTGGGGACCGCTTTGCAGAACACCTACGTTCGGTTCGCACTAAACAACTGCACCTCCCAGTCGCGAACCATTTCAACTCCCCCTCCCATTCCTCAGACAACATGTCCATCCTGGGCTTCCTGCAGTGCCACAACGATGCTACCTGAAGGTTGCAGGAACAGCAACTCATATTCCGCTTGGGTACCCTGCAGCCCAATGGTATCAATGTGGACTTCATAAGCTTCAAAATTTCCCCTCCCCCTACCGCATCCCAAAACCAGCCCAGCTTGTCCCCGCCTCCCTAACCTGTTCTTCCTCCCACCTATCCCCTCCTCCCACCTCAAGCCCCACCCCCATCTCCTACCTACTAACCTCAGCCTACCCCCTTAACTTGTCCGTCCTCCCTGGACAGACCTATCTCCTCCCTACCTCCCCACCTACACTCACCTTTACTGGCTCCATCCCCGCCTCTTTGATCTGTCTGTCTCCTCTCCACCTATCTTCTCCTCTATCCATCTTCTTTCCGCCTCCCCCTCTCTCCCTATTTATTTCAGAACCCCCTTCCCCTCCCCCATTTCTGAAGAAGGGTCTAGGCCCGAAACATCAGCCTTCCTGCTTCTCTGATGCTGCTTGGCCTGCTGTGTTCATCCAGCTCTACACCTTGTTATCTCAGTTAGCTCAGTTAGCCAGTTAGTGGTGCCAACAGTGTGTTCAATTCCCACCAGCTCACATTACCATGAAGGACTCTCAATCTCAACCTCTCCCTTCACCTGAGGTGCAATGGCCCTGAGATTAAATCACCACCAGCCAGCTCTCTCTAATGAGTGAGCAGCCCAGTAGTCTGGCAAGACTATGGCAAATTTACTCATCTGCTGAAGGCTGAACAATATTCATATGGTCTGGTGGGATTTGCAGTCATCACTCCGACAAACACATTTCTAAAAATTTATTCCTGGGATGTGAGCTTAAGTTTAAATTTATCCAAATATCAATTTCACAATGACATGTACAGCTAGGCTTGCATCAAAACAGCAGAGATACACTTGTATTATGTAAGTAAAGACAATTATAAAATGACAATTTTTGAACACAAGTAGAATTTTCTTCTATTCATTCATGGGATGTGGACTATGTCTAAGCCACCATTTATTGCCCATCCCCAACTGCTCTGATGGAAGTGGTATTGAGCTGCCCTCTCAAGCTACTGCAATGTGTTGGGGGTGGGGTGGGGGGAGGAGGACAGACTGTCAAGAAAGGAGTTCCAGAAATTTTACCTCGTGACACTGAAGGAATAGTGATGTAATTCCAAACCAGGAAACTGCGGCTTGGAATGGAACTTGCGCAGTGGTGTTGTTCTGCTTCATTTGCTACCCTTGTCTTTCTAGGTGGCAGAGGTTGTGGGTTTGATAGGTGCTATGGAGGAAGTCTTGGTGAGTTGTTATGGTGTATCTTGTAGATAGTTCACACTGCTGGCACTTTGCATTGGTAGTGGAAGGAGTGGATGTTGAAGGTGTTTGATGTAGAGCTAATCAAATGGGCTACTTTGTCCTGGATGGTGTCAAGTTTCTTGTGTGTTGTTGAAGCTGCACTTATCTAGGCATGTTGGTTGTATTCAATCACGCAGTTGATTTGTCACTTACAGATTGTGCACAGGCTTTAGGAAGTTGGGAAATGAGTTACTCACTGCTGAATGCCCAGCTCCTGACCTGCTACTGTTGTCATGGTATTTATATGCCTCGTCCAGTTCAGTTTCGGGTCAATGATAGTTGATGGTGCAGGATTCAGTGATGGTCGTGTCATTAAATGTCAAGAGGCAATAGTTTAATATTTCCTGTTGGAGCTGGTAATTGCCTGACACTTGTGTGACACAAATTTATTTGCCACCTATCAGTACAAGTTTGAATATTATCCAGGTGTTGCTGCATTTAGATATTAATTGGGGAAAAGACTTCAAACATTGTGCAATCATCAGTGAACATCCCAATAGAATCCACAGAATCCCTACAGTATGGAAATAGGCCCTTCGCCCCAACAAATCCACACCGACCCTCAGAACAACTTCCGACTGTGTAATGGAGGAAAAGGTCCTCGATGAAGCATCTGAAGATGGATGGCCTAGGACACTGAGGAATTCTTGCAGAGATGTTCTATGGCTGAAATAATTGACCTCCAACAACCTTAAATGTCTTCCTTTGTAATAGGCCTGCCTCCAAATAGTAAAGATTTATCCCCTGATTCATTGATGCCAGAAGATTATGCCAGAAGTTGTTCTCTCTCATATTTTAATTCTTTTAAATATTTTTCTTGCTATGATATAGGTGATAGTTGCCCTACGAAGGCTGGTGGCAGACTTTCTCCTAGACCTCTGCGTTACTGATACTGATGGTGTCTCAGGAAGGACCTTGGTTTGTGACTTAAAGAGAAAATTTAGAGGTGAAAGGTGTTCACATGACATACTTACATTTTTTAAGCGCTTGTGGTTTTAGTTATTGTGACAATAATAACCTAAGCTTCTTTCAGCAGCATTTCCCAGCACAGGACTTCTGTAGACAATACTGTGCATGTAACTTAGCTGCCATTGCCCTTTGCGCTGGTAACACATGGTTTAAAAAATAGCACTGTGCATTCATCTATTCCATCGCACAGGTGGAGTTCAGGCAGTCTTGATTCATAACACTGAAGAATCCTTGTGTCTAGCCAGATATTTAATGTGACATTTATGGCTGTTTGCCTGACCGAGGAAACAAATTGGAGGTTTGGCGGACGACGGGTGTAGAGATTAGGGGCGAGTACGGACAGGAGAGATAGAACATAGAACATAGAACATTACAGCGCAGTACAGGCCCTTCAGCCCTCGATGTTGCGCTGACCTGTGAAACCAATCTGAAGCCCATCTAACCTAAACTATTCCATTATCATCCATATGTTTATCCAATGACGATTTAAATGCCCTTAAAGTGGGCGAGTCTACTATTTTTGCAGGCAGGGCATTCCACGCCCTTACTACTCTCTGAGTAAAGAACCTACCTCTGACATCTGTCCTATATCTATCACCCCTCAATTTAAAGCTATGTCCCCTCGTGCTAGCCATCACCATCCGAGGAAAAAGGCTCCCACTGTCCACCCTATCTAATCCTCTATCATCTTGTATGTCTCTATTAAGTCACCTCTTAACCTTCTTCTCTCTAATGAAAACAGCCTCAAGACCCTCAGCCTTTCCTCATAAGACCTTCCCTCCAGACCAGGCAACATCCTGGTAAATCTCCTCTGCACCCTTTCCAATGCTTCCACATCCTTCCTATAATGCGGTGACCAGAACTGTACGCAATACTCCAAGTGCGGCCGCACCAGAGTTTTGTACAGCTGCAACATGACCTCATGGCTCCGAAACTCAATCCCTCTACCAATAAAACCTAACATACTGTACGCCTTCTTAACAACGCTATCAACCTGGGTGGCAACTTTCAGTGATCTATGCACACGGACACCCAGATCTTTCTGCTCATCCACACTACCAAGAATCTTACCATTAGCCCAGTACTCTGTATTCCTGTTGTTCCTTCCAAAGTGAATCACCTCACACTTTTCCACATTAAACTCCATTTGCCACCTCTCAGCCCAGCTCTGCAGCTTATCTATGTCCCTCTGTAACCTGCAACATCCTTCCGCACTATCCACAACTCCACCGACTTTGGTGTCATCCGCAAATTTTCTAACCCATCCTTCTACGCTCTCATCCAGGTCATTTATAAAAATGGCAAACAGCACTGGCCCCAAAACAGATCCTTGAGGTACACCACTAGTAACTGAACTCCAGGATGAACATTTCCCATCAACCACCACCCTCTGTCTTCTTACAGCTAGCCAATTTCTGATCCAAACCGCTAAATCACCCTCAATCCCATGCCTCCGTATTTTCTGCAACAGCCTACCATGGGGAACCTTATCAAACGCTTTACTGAAATCCAAATACACCACATCAACCGCTTTACCCTCATCCACCTGTTTGGTGACCTTCTCGAAGAACTCAATAAGGTTTGTGAGGCACGACCTACCCTTCAAAAAACCGTGTTGACTATCCCTAATCAAATTATTCCTTTCTAGATGATTATAAATCCTATCTCTTATAATCCTTTCCAACACTTTACCCACAACCGAAGTAAGGCTCACTGGTCTATAATTACCAGGGTTGTCTCTACTCCCCTTCTTGAACAAGGGGACAACATTTGCTAGTCTCCAGTCTTCTGGCACTATTCCTGAAGACAATGACGACTTAAAGATCAAAGCCAAAGGCTCTGCAATCTCCTCTCTAGCTTCCCAGAGAATCCTAGGATAAATTCCATCCGGCCCAGGGGACTTATCTATTTTCACACCTTCCAGAATTGCTAACACCTCCTCCTTATGAACCTCAATCCCGTCTAGTCTAATAGACTGTATCTCAGTATTCTCCTCCACTACATTGTCTTGATGGTAGAGCACGGATGATGGGAAGGACAGTTTTGGAGAAGGGGGTTCAGTTTTTAGGAGGTTCAGGGAATGGTACTTTAGGGGTCAGGATGTCTAGCGGTGAGGGAACCGAATGATGGAGACGGGAGGGAATGGAGAGAGTGGAGATGGAAGGGGTGAGGTATGGACGGGTGGTAGAGGGATGGGTACAGAGAAGCAGAGGACGAGTGAGGTTTGGGGGGAGGAGGAGGAGGGGGTGTTGTGGAGGAGTGGTAGACGGTGAGGTGGCGATGGGGGGTGGGTGGTGTTGGAGAGGAAGGGGGCGGGGTTTAGGGTGGGGCTGGCACGCGGCCGTTTCGACCGCGCCGCTCCAACCGCCTCCCGCGTGCTTCTAACGGTCAGTGAGCCGCGTGCTGCGGTCCGATGCATCCCACCCCTTCCCAGCCCCCTCCCCGTGAGAAGGGCGCGCGGGTTTGGCGCGAAGTTCGAGACGGACCGTCCGTGAGGAGGAGGCCTGGAGTTGAGCCTTCAGCGGCGAGCAACAGCGGCTAGAGTAAACGCTAACCGAGGGCTGCAGTAACTGTGGCCGCTTTACTCAAGACTTGCAAGGTGATGAACATTGCTGAAAGGCGCGACGTTACTCTTCTGTCGCATCCGGGGCTGTGGGGATGTGAATGAAAGCGACAGCCATTGCACATGAATCAGTGCATCCAGGGTCTGGGAGCGGGAACAGTGAAGGGGATTTCAACATATGATGGGGAATCTGGCCCCTTGCCAAGTCCTATTCCAAACTCGGTACCTTCATCTTTCAGTTGCAACAGTGATGATCGCTGCAATCAATTGTCATTCACTCAAATTCGCAAATGACGATGCAGACTTGATTTTAAGAAACTTTAGCTTTGGACGTTGGCGCTGTTTTGCATCGTGCTTCTTTGGCCATTCTTGTGCAAACCTATTTTTCAGAGCGCAGCAACAAAGTTCATCACGCAAACTTTGGTGATTCTGATGGAGGGAAACACATTTGGACACTGGGGTGTTGTGGGGTCAGCATACTAGATACTGGGGGCTTACAGGGTCAGCATCCTGGACAGTGGGTGTCACAGAGTCACTGCCCCTGGACATTGGGAAGTTACAGAGTCAGTGCCCTGGATACTGGGGGTTTGAAGGTCAACATGCTGGACCGTGGGGCAGTTACAAGGTCAGCATCCTGGACACCAGGGGTGAGGTGATTACAGGGTCAGTATCAGGGATCCTGGGGGGTTCTGAAGTCACTGCCTGGACACAGGAAAGTAACGGGATCTCTACCCCGGACATTGGGAGGTTGCAGGGTCAATGCCCCGGACACTAGGAGGTTACAGGGTCACTGCCCTGGACATGGGAGTGTTACAGGTTCAGTGCCCCTGGCACTTGGAGGAATAGGATCTTTGCCGTGGACACTGGACAAGATGGGGGAGGTAAGGAGATGCGTGAGCAGGGTCTCTGTCCTGGACAGTGAGAGGTTACAAGATCACAACCCCAGACACTTTGTGTGTGTGTGTGTGTGTTGGGGGTATTGGAGATGTGGAGGTAGAGAGAACCTAGCTGCTGCTCCAGATACTGTGGGGTGCAGGGTCACTGCCTCGGAAACTGTGGAGTACAGGGATATTACCTGGGACTCTCAGGTGCATATGGCCACTAATACAGACTTTTTGTGCAGATTTACAGTTACGTTTTCAAGGTTAGAAAGTTTTTTTGCTTATGGATTGAATCATATTTGTATTTATTTAGAAAATTGCATAGTACTTTAAACCCATAAGGTATGTGACCCTTTACCCAGGAGTTCCTCTTACTCTCATGGCATCACTCACTAAATGCCATAATGCTCCAAACTAATTTGGAGTTAGTAATTAGCCAGTTATTAAGCAGGAAACATCTGGCATTTTATCCACAGATTTTAAGTGGGATGCCAAAATATATGATTTTACAGTTCAGTTATTTGTTTTTATTCATCAACGGGATGAGGGCGTTACTGGCTAGGCAGCATTTATTACTCATCAATAATTGCCCAGAGGGCAGTTGGGTGTCAACCACATTGCTGTGAGTCTGGAGTCACATGTAGGCCAGACCAGGTAAGGATGGCGGTTTCCTTCCCTAAAGGACATTAGTGAACCAGATGGGTTTTTCCAGCAATTGGCAATGGATTCATGGTCATCATTAGATTCTTAATTCCAGTTATTTTTATTGAATTCAAATTCCACCATCTGCTGTGGTGGGATTCGAACCCTGCTATATTCAAATATAGCAGTCTAACGTAGCTGGGCAGATAATTTTGAATCATAATTTCATTATATTATTTTTGTGACAAACTACATAAGTTATGTGCACAAAATGGTGCCAGGCTGACCATTACATAGTAGTGGCTAAGACTACCAAAACAGTGTAATTGAAAGTGCATCTGAATCCCTCGATACGATAATTTCCTCCTAAGTGCTTACATGTAATGCTTAAAATGATATGGCATATTACCACATCAAAGCTTTTCAAAGTGCTTGAGAAAGAAAATTTCATTTGAAATGCTGTGACTGTTATATAGGTAAATATTTAAGCTATTTTGTAATGACATCTCACTAGATTTTGATGCAGTTTTTTGCGATGTCGGTTGAAGGTGAAAGTAATTTACAGTTGTTCATGTATTCTGGGACCTTTAACAATACATCAGAATAGGTAGACAGTAGATTTAACACTTCATTCAAGATGCGACTACCGAACCAATGAAACAATCCCATTCGGTACTACTCAGAAACTATGAGCTTATGTTGATGGTGATTTAATACTATTTTTTGAATACATTCATTGGATGTGGGCATGACTGTCTCAGCCAGCATTTATTGTCTATACATAATTGCCATGGAGAAAGTGGTAGTGATCAATCTGCAGACCACAGCAGACCTGAGGGTATAGTTCCATCCACCATGCTCTGAGGGAGGGAGATCAGGCTTTTGACCGAGAGACAATTAAGATGTGATATAATTTCAGGATAGTATGTGGCTCAACTAGGAACTTTCAGGTGTTAGTGTTCCCATGCATCAACCACCTTTGTCTTTTTAGGTGGTAGAGTTTGCAAGGTTTGAAGATGCTGTCAGAGGAGCTGTGGTGAGTTACTGTAGTGCAACCTGTACATGGGACTTACTGTTGCCGGAGTGTTGGTAGTGAGCGAGTGAATGTTGAATGTGGTGGATTGGGTACCAATCAAGCGAATGCTGCTTGATAGTCATTGAAGCAGCACTCATCCAGGCAAATAAGGAATAGCTTCTGACTTGTGTTTTGTGTATGCTGGGCGGGCATTGGTCAGTCAGGAAGTGAATTACTCACCTCAGAATTCCCAACCTCTGACCTCCCCTTGAAGCCACAGTATTGATTTGGTTGGTCCCTTTCAGTTTCTGGTCAATGCTAATATCCAAGATGTTAATAGTACTGGGAATTCACTGAACTTTAAGGAGCAATTGTCAGACTCTCGTTGAGAATCTTTGAGATGGTCATCACCTCGCACATGTATAGTGTGAATATTACTTATGACCTATCAACGCAAACCTGAATGTTACCCGGATTGCCAGCAAACATCCCTATTTCTTACATTATAGTGGAGGGTTTGGTGAAACAGTTGAAGATTGTTGGGCCTGGGACACTACCCTGAGGATTTTGTGTGCTGTTGCCTGTGGTGAAGATGATTGACTTCCAACAGCCGCAGCCATCCTCCTCTGTGCTAGGTATGATTTCAGCCAACAGAGTGTTTCTCCCTGATTCCAGTTTCTTCTAATTTTTCTAGCGCTCCTTAATGCCACAAGTCAAATGCTGTCTTGATGTTAAGTACAGTAACTCCTATTTCGCCACTACAGTTTGGCTGTTTTGTCCTTCTTTAGACAGTGACTGTAATGAGGTGAGGAGTGGGTGACCCTCGTGAAACTTAAAGTGAATGTCATTGAACAAGTGCTGCTTGATAGCACTGTTGATGACCCTTCCATCACTTTGGTGATGGTAGAGTATAGGTTAATAATTGGCTGGGTTAGATTTGACCTGATTCTTGTGAACAGGATGTATGTGGGAAGTTTTCTACATTGTCAGGTAGATGTTAGTGTGCCAGCTATGCTGGAACAGCTTGGTAAGGGCTGCAGCTATTTCCAGAGCACGTCTTCAGTGCTATTGCCAGAATATTGTCAGTGCTCACAGCCTTTGCAGAAGCCAGTGCACTCAGCAGTTTCTTGATAACACAAGCAGTGAATTGCATTGGTTGAAGCTGGGATCTGTGATGCTGGGGACCGCAGGAGAAAGCTGAGATGGATCATCCATTTAGCACTTTCAGCTGAAGGCACAATCTTTTGAAGATGGACCGTGTGACCAACTTGGTTACGTTATGATATACTTCTTGTGATTTTATTTGTGCATGCATCTATGAAAATGCAAAAGTCCTGTATTTGGATACATGTACTATTTTACCTGACATTTCTTGTCATGCCACTTCCACCAAGCTAATTTTGTCATGCTGTGGAAAGTACCTGTTCTACATTGAACTTGACAATGAATTCTCTTCATTCCATTTCAAAGGCAGTTGGTGCGATGTTCACCACACCCATCTAAGGCCCGCTAGCATCTGGCTCTTATCCAATGGTTCCATTCCAACTGCTTGTAGCTATCTTTTGTCTTGTTCCAACCTGAACCCCACACTCCTGAAATCTTCTTCTTATCTGGGCTATTGATTCACTAAGCATCCGAGATGATTCATTTATCTGTATGTAGGTTAAAATGTCTATTACTCAATCCTCTGTTGTGTTGTACGTGGAAACCCAAGTGAAATAAAATTCAACGTTGAGGGATCAATTGAACCCAGGAAAAAAAGGGACCTATTTTAAAAAGTATTCTTGCTTTAACACAGTTTGATCTTGTATTATTGATAGTTAAATATCAGTACAAACAGTAATTCATGAAATAGAGTTGGTTGGAACGTATGGGTTTCTTGGTACTGTAGACTGAAGGCTTAGAACATGGAAAACTGAAGCACTGTAGTTCTGCCAGTGATGGGAAATTTCATTAAATAGAATTAAAATTTAAACAAGACTGAGAACTGGAACAAAGGCTTTGAAGCAGAAAGTATATGTAAATGCATTATTTTCAATACAATATAGACTTATATTAGTCAATCTTCCATGGCATTGTGGACACAGAATAAAAATCTAAGGCCATGCTGATGAAATAACGTAATCTATTGCTGTCAATCAACTCATTAAGAGCTGATAAGACAACGCTTAAGCGAGTTTCTCACCCTATTAGCACCATGACAGTGACATGAAGTTCACTTAAAGCCATTGGCCAATCAGCGGCTGGCAGCTTCAGGATCCAGGTGGTCTGTCAAGGTCTTCTTCTGAGGGAATCCAATGATGAAGGTCATTAAATTTTATTTTATTATTGAGGAGTGGGGTTATCACCCTTGGGTTAGGGAGCACCCCTTGCCTGCCATTCATGTCTCTGTTTGGAGCATTTGGAAGTCCCCCACCAAACTTGGTAATGATGCTGTGTGCTCAGGGGCATACATCCAGCTCAGAACTGAACCAGGCTACATCTCTGGACTCTTTGCT